ACTGCATTTTAATGAAGTTAATTTTCTTTATTCCTCTACCGTATCTGAGGTTTTAAAGGACCAGAAAGAAAAGGCCAAGTTTGTCCCCTTCTTTGACCTAAAAATCAAATCAGAGTCAGAATTGCGATACTTTGTGATTGAGAACTTTAAATGATGCTCGTTTAAAACCAACATTATTTTTTATTGAGGCCACAAGATTTAACCGAATTTCCTCAGTTCTGTTGGAATTCTGCGAAATTGCAGTATACTTTTCATTTTGGGAAAACAGAGCACAAGCTTGCCTTTCTGAGATGTATATACACAAGATGTATCTGATACTTCAGCATGAAATATATTAATCTGATAGAGGGGCAACCTTGTACTCTGTGTTTTCTTTTAAAAATGTGCTTTAAAAAGATGAAAATTTAAATGCGAATGGGAAATTTTGGAAATTGACAAGGTATAAGATTCGTTTAATGTAATATTCGGCCCTGAGAATTTCCAAAACTTAAAGTTTACGCTGAATCAAAACTTTCCTTGAGGTTCCATGTCGCATAAATTAACATCAAAATAGCACAGCGTTATCGTAAACTATGACACTTTTGCATTTATAAAAAAAAAAACAAACAAACAAATCTGTGTACAAACATACATTGATAATTTCATGAAAATATACGCTCTCTGAAAGAATTTCGAGGAATATTATTTATTTTTTGCATGGGGTCGAATTGTCCTTTAGTGATTTTCTTGTGACCTCTGTGTATTCCATCACGAAGCCCCTATCTTTAATTTACCCCTAACAAAAAAAGTAATCGCTGTAAAGGAGAAACTTCAGATGTACTGTGATACAGCATATTCTAGAAGTGATGTAATCTTTTATTGATCACAATGCAAACCCATTTACATGTTCTAACTGTCTCGGGTCAAGATAGTTAGCAAAAACAAGAATACAGGATAAAAAATATTAATAACATTTCTACAAATGTCACGATCTTTTTTTCAAACACAGGACTATTTGGTAACTTTAAAGTAATTCCATTCTTTTTAAATCACTTTTTACATAAGAAACATATTATTTGGTTTAGTTTTGTTCTAACATCTATAAACATTTTAAATTTTTATGTCGTATAATTATGCTAGAAAAGACACATCGGTATTTAAAAACAGTAATTTTGGTATTCCGTTCAGAACTAAAACCAAAGATTACATGTTTCCATTGTACATCAAAATGTAATGCTGAACTAAGATTTTCCATAATATTTTAACACTTTCACAGTCATAAAGTAGATGTCTTATATCTTCAGCTACATTACACATATTACATGGAGCCGATAATCTATATAAGCATTTAAAAAGAGAACTGTTACAACACAATGTATTATTTAAAAGTTTGTAATTAAATTCACATAGTATATATTCATCATAAAGATCTTTACCTTTGTTTCTATATTTATAATCTATTAATACTAAAAATGTGCTCTCTTTTGCTATAGAAAATAATTTTTAAACAATAATTGATGACCTGGAGCTTAACATTTCTTAAAAAGAGGGTCATCGTAGAAAAAATAACATTTTTTACCTTCAATACACTGTTAACCATTGATAAAATGAAAATAGCACTTTATTATTATATGAATAAAATCTATGGAAATAACGAAAAGTATTCCAGTAAACAATACAGACTTTGGAGCAGAGCAAACACGGACCTCTAAACATCAAAGGTGGGAGCAGGTCAAACTCTGTGGTATCTTTTATTTCCAGCTCATTGATATATATCGTATCGACATAAGAATGGAAATAACCATTGTTAATTGACAATACGTCGTCGATATACCTAAATGTCGAGTTAAAGGCCACAACAAGTGTTTTCTTCTTTTCACGTATAAGATTTTGAACAAATTCTGCTTCATATGAATACAAAAATAGGTCTGCTAATAACGGGGAGCAATTGGTACCCATGGGAATTCCAATAGATTGCTGGAAGACCTGGTCAAAAAAACCACATAGATATTGTCAATCAGAAACTCAAGCATCTTTTTAATATCAACTTCAGAATACTTGTGTTTACAATCAGAATGTTTTTTTTTAAACAAAATAATTTTGCAAATGACCAATGACAAGGTAAGTAAATTGTAAGAATAACACGGCATGTTGAATCATTTTTTTTTTTATAAATTGCAATTTTTAATATTTTATATTCACGTATCTAGTTCGATTTTCATTACAGATCAAAGGACAATTATTGTAGTGTTTAAATTGTCCACTATTATTAAAAAGGTCCTTAATATGCGCTATCCTGCAAAAAAATTTTTTTTGTTATTTTACCTAAACATATTATTATTCTATATTGGTTGTTGAGCAAAGCTTACATTAGATAATATAGTCTTATCGATATATCTTTCACAATCATTAAAACTATAAAATACTTTTTCATAAAAAATTGGAAGGTTTGAAATAAGTCCGAAGGTTTTGTCTCCGATGGAGTTAATATATAATTGATATCAACATTAAGACGATTAAATAGTCGTCTACTAATTCGCTAATGAATTAATTCTTTTCTACTAAGAATCTAATCTAAGCAGTCTTTTAAGCGTTCAATTCCAATTCAATATTTACCACACCTATACCGCCATCTTTCCATTTTCCAATCACAGTATCTCTTGATTCTATCGCTTTTGTTCCCTATTTAGTTTAATATGCTAATTTAAATTTACCGAATATGTTCGGGATCGGGCATTGGTAATATTGAAAACATATAAATTACATGTAGTTATAATGTAACTAATTACTTAACAACACGTGATTTCCCAAAAGATGGTCATTTTTCTGTTTTCCTAGATTCAAAGAGTTTTTCCCTCATATTTTGAAAGGTTTTTAACCAATTCCAATCATTCCACTGAACTTCACTATGGCTAATGTGTAAACCTAATCATCGAACAGCATCATAAGTTACCTGTATGCTTCCTTCGTCGGTGTATTTATCTGTAAGACTACGGAATTATGTATATTGTGTTTTACTAAAATTTACGTTTGAGCCAGCGTGTTAACTCAACTCTTCAACAGTCTTGACTGCAATATTTAAAGAAGATATATCTTTTAAAGCGAGTTTGACGTCATTAGCATTTTGAATATATTTTATATCTTTTTTCATGTTTGATACATTAACACCTTTTATTTCCTCGTTTGGAAAATGGTAATTCTTGTGTTTCAAACTCACTTAAGAATACGTCATAAAAGAAAGGTCCGATTATTTTCCAAAAAAAAAAAAAAAAAAACCATTTGTAAAATTCACGTTGTAATCCATCAAAACCGGGATATTTGTTGCTTTTAGATTATAAACCCTGTCTGTACATTAATTTGTTGGAAATGTGTCACAAAGCTTTCTCTTGCGATCATTAATTATAAGTTTTGGACATTCAATGTCTTGTAAATATGACAAAATATTTAAATCATCAACAGATTTGCTTGCATATACATTTGCATAAAAAGACACATTTCCTGAAAGATTTCACTATTACTTGCAACGGTTTTATTATTGTTTCATGTCAGATGTTGTTTCTCAAAAACTGCAAAGAACTTTTTGAAAATTTAAAATCACCAATTTTGTAAAGTCAATACATGTAAATGTATAACATTATACCGTATGAATTTTCTGCACTTTATACAACCATACCTTATAATAAATTAAAAACTAGCCTTTTTCTGTATCATAGACAACTGCTACTTCAATAAAAAAAAAGGGAACTCGGAAATTTTTTTTTATTTTGTGATTGGTCATTAAAAAATAACTTTAAAAAACACTTATTCTACACATACATGTATTTACTCTGAGGTTGACATTAAAAGAATACCTGAGTTCCTCATTTATGTAGTATTCGGAGACGAGGTCTTCCAACAAACTGTTGGAATTCCGATGGGCACTAGTTGTGGTTCCTTTTAGCCGACTCGTTTTTATATTCTTTTGAAGCAAACTTTATTCAAAAACTTCGACATGGGAAGGAGAAAACTATTGCTGTGGCCTTTATCTATATCAACGATGTTATCATTTAACATTAGTTACATCCATTCATATGTCGACTCGATACATGTATATCCCAGTGGCACTTAACTTGAAATAAAAGACAGCACACTGTCTGCCATAAGTGTTTCATAGTTGGGTGTTTTACTGACTATAGAAGATAAATACCAACTAAGAACTAAATCGTATGACAAAGGAAATGACTTCAGCTTTTCTAATGTTGTCAAATATCCTTATTTATGTAGTAATATTCCGCTATCACCTGGAAATGGTATTTACATCTCTCAACTTATTCTATATTCTAGAGCATGTTCTGAGCACCATCAGTTTTTAAACCGAGGCAGAAAACTGGAAGATAAGTTAATGATACAAGGATTTCAACATCATCATTTAAAGTCAGCATTTCTATAGTCGTTTCTAACTAGATTCCATGGTCGTTACAATGATATTGTTAGCAAAAAAATTGACTACAGAATGTTCCTTTTACTTATCAATACATAGGGCTCACGGCGGATGTGAACGATCAACAGGGGATGTTTCCTCCTCCTAGGCACCTGATCCCATCTCTTTAATTTCCAGGGGCCCGTGTTTTATGCTCTGTTCGCAGATGTGCATTGTTTGTAGATTTTATGTTTAAATCGATCATTGTTCGCTATCTTAACCTTTTTTCATAGGATCAAAACTCATTTGGTAATGACAACAGGTTTTTGATCATGAACTAATGCACTGTCCTAAACCAGAGCCAAAAAGGGTCCTAGCCTTTATTGTCCATTAACAATTTATAGAAACGATGGAAAATACAATTGTAGGTGAATTATTTTCTCTATCACATCATTAGTATGCACAACGTTAACCATATCACTTTAAGAGAATCATTTCTATTCTCTCCTCACGTCGCTTGGAGGATTTTTAAACCGCTGTTGCAATAGCAAATAATCTAATATATTCATGTATGAAGTTCAAGTATCACAAAAACACATAATATAACATATAATACTCTTAATGATTTGTTGTAAATTTTATTCTTTTTTTGTTTTTTATAACACATTTTTTCTCTCCATAATTATATCTGGGAATTACACACGTTGTATCCTCGTCATCCATTTGTTGAAAGGGGCATCATTCCCATCATACCTGGATTAAGTGGGCTAGGCATTAATGCCACTCGCCGTCGGCGGCCACCTAATTGCAGTAGTTGTTGAGCAAATGGCCTAATGTCGATCCCAAGACGACTTCCTTGTAGCAATGTTGGGCATGGTAAAGGTGAATTTCTGTTAAAAACAACCAAGGACTCTTAAAATTGATACACTATCGCCAGGTCGGTGTAATTCTTTCCATTGTCAATCAATTGCTAAATACACGCCTTTTACCACGAGAGAGAGATAGAGAGAATAATAAAAGGTTATGAGGTTACCCTGGAATATCAGGACGTATCATCAGACTTGGTTGGAAGGAATGAATAGCGCCAGGAATATCCTTTACAACTGAACACAAAATCTTGGAGTATGTGGTCTGTTTAATTTGAGAAAGCTGAGCTTCAAAGGAAAGAAACAAGAAAAAATGGAAAGTTATACTTATGATTATATATAAAGTGCCTTCATTTCATTGATTTAATTTGATTTGAACATAGCCTATACAAGCCCTCTCCACAGGTACAAGGTCCATTTATTTTAACATCATACTACATATTTTCATTTTATATTTTGTTTCATGGCTGGAAATAATTACCTGGTGTAAAAGCAGACAGTGGGTTTTCGGGGAAAGTGCGCTCGTACCAGAAACGGTCACCATGTTTGTAGAGGCTGAACTGAAGGGCGATGAGACATTGGAACGTGGGTCCTAGAATGCTTCCCGGTCGAGGAGTTTCAGACAAACCTCCAGCAAAAAGATCAATATCGTCTGGGTGTCTAAATAAATTAAAGTAAGTCAAATAAATTTTAAACAATACAATAAAGTAAATTTTGAAACTCTGTCCCTCTCCGAATTTTGAACACCCCACCCACCTTCTACGATTTTAGCATCAACATATATTATTTATTGTAGCTTTTACAATGGAACGTGGATTGTCCATGTAAGTTTCATCTACGGCGATTAAGCGATCAATTTGTTCGATACAGATACACAAAGGAACTTAAACTGAACCAGTACAACTTACATGTAAGTTTGCTGAAGCGCAGATGCTGCCTGTGGAGTATGATCGACCAGTCCCCCAGGGACAGTAGCAAACAAAACTGCTCTTCGAAGTCCACAGAATTCTCTGTAAGCATTGTAGGAGGGTATACCGTGATCTCGGCCTCTCTGTATGTTCAAAGCTCCCAGATCAAAAGATAATGTTTCTGATGGGTTCATACCAGGAACAGGTGGAAATTCAAACAGTCTATTCCTAATTCCATCTACCAAAAATCTATCAGATCTTGATTTAGGTTCCCTTGACATCCAACGTGTCATAAATTCATATCCTCCGTCATACATTAAATCTGGGCGCTCAAAATGCCTGTGGACGGGAAAAGTGACAGAGGCTCCGTTCCCAAATACATGACCTACAGTGTTTCTCACCAAACTGTGACCCATACGATAAGCTGCAACACCAAAGGCATTAATTGTTCTAGGATCTATTGTAGGGTTATAAACTTCTGCATGTCCAAACGGCCTTGATCGAAGGTTAAAGGCATTCATATGAAAATCGTCAAGGACGGCGGGTAGAAATTCGTTGTATGTAACATGTTGAAGCTCTGCTATTACTATCCTCTTTGCTTCCTGGAAAAGAGTCTCGTCATCTGTGATGCCAGTGGCTTGTCTTAATGCGTCAGCAATGAGATTATGACGTCTTAACCACGTGATGTGTGGAATAGTTAGAGTTGGTGTCTCGCTGGGTCTGTGATCACCTGATAACATGAAAACGGCACAATTACTACAAAGCACTCTCTTAATCTTGTATTCAATAAATTATATATATCAGGCTTTATCAATACCTGCTACAAAACACTGGCGCTCTGCAGGAGGCGCCAAGGGAGGGCAGCCCTGGGGATGGGGTGGCAGCAGATTCTGTTCGTTCTCGGCAAGTCGTCCCCCGACTAGTGTTAGAATTAATGGCTGTTAGTTTAAATTCTTGTTCACATATGATAATTTAGATCAGTGTATATCAAAAGGAGAAATGTAGATAATTACATTACTTAAAATTAAATATGATAAAACATTGTATGCAAATTTAAACATTTGACTTTCGTTTGGCCATTAAATCATTTAAAAAAAAATAATTTATTAAAATAGTTTTCTCCAGAGCATTATCAACTGTGCTTACCGCCTGCTCTTAATTGAAGTTCTTTGCTGACATCAGAATCATAAATCATGGACCCGTCAACAAAAGCTGTTCTCTGGTTGATTTGCTGACGGACACCTACAAATAACAATTGTAATAGTACCTCTGAATAAAGAAGATGGGCGAACAAGGGTGAAAAGCGAAATGCCTATAGTGCAACACACATGAGGGTAAGAAATTGAATCTCACTTATAACAAAATTTTCTCTGATATTCCATCTGACATTAAAGTATACTTTATGAAAGATATCCACAATTTGCAAAAACCTCACCAAGATTGAAATTGATTGCCTACGAAATAGACAACATACACTAAAGAGGGCAAAAAGGACCGTTTTCTTATACTGTAACTAAATTTTTCGATATGAGTGGGTCTTTGCTCCATTTTTTTTAAATTTTATCCTTAGAGTTTGCGTAAAAATATACATTTTTTGGTTAACAGAAACTTGCAGCAACGACCCACCATACCTTAAAAATACATTTTATTGACACAACACTCGCATCTTTCCGAGAAAGTCCATTTAATCAAGGGTCATATCACAAACGTGATTTAAATGCCACTATTCATCAGGAGTTGTTTAGCGTAGTTGTTAGCGTGTTAGTCTCAAAGGAGAATGATATAACTGAAGAATTTTATTGCTAGGGTTCGAACCCCACGAATACCACATCCTTTTAAAATAACAGAATAATTTTGCCGAGAAAATTTCCCCCAGAAAAGTTTTTTTTATCATAATTCTAAACTCTAGTATTTCCTAATCATGTTTTTTTTAAATTTTACGTTAAAGAAAACGTTTAAGAAGCCACATAATTATACCGAGGAAGATTTTTTTCTTTGATCTTTCAAAGAATTTCGACTGACCGTTTTCACATCGGATGGGCGGCGATCCGGCATGACGGACAACGTTCATACAGGTTTTATCGGGTGGGAAAAATGGATCCCCTGCTTCTACAACAATGCTAAAGCAAGCCTCTGGATTCTGTTGATTCCTATAAAGAACAGGTGAAGTTCAACATGTATTCAAACTGTGATATAATCTATCTCAGACATCAAGTTTTTTTGTACATTGCATTAATAATCTAATGTTAAAATTCGAATCATTTTAAGTCTTATTATTATTAATCATTTTAGTTGGTAAAATACGAAAATCTGAATAATATACGTGCATAGTAATTTTATCAATAATCATTAAGTATTATTGTCATTTATGAAAATAATGCAAATGAACTAATAAACTTTAGAAAAGGTTTCATTTTTTATTACAGTTTATTTAACACCGTTTTTTGTTTTTTGTTTTTTTTGTTTTGTTTTTTTTTTTTGTTTTACTCACATCATTGGCATACAACAGTCATTATTAGACACTGAAATTAAAAAAAATTGCAATGAGATAAAGATATAAAATGCTAAATTGGCAAAGTTATATATATATATATATATATATATATATATATATATATATATATATATATATATATATATATATATGTATATATATATATATATATATATATATATATATATATATATATATAATATTATATATATATATATATATATATATATATATATATATATATATATATATATATATATATATATAAATTACAAACGTTATACAAGTACGAAGTACGTACATTGCTCTGAGGGCGTGGCGATGACGTCATGATCAATGAACTGTCCGTGGTGAGTGAGGTAGGTGGAGAATGCGGCACTGACAGGGGTCATGCCCCCTCCAATAAACCGAAACACGTTGTTACTAACAGTCCGAGCACTTGGCAGAAAGAATGGTTCCCTAACAGACCTGATGCGTGGAGTGTTGATCACTGTAAATAATATGACGTGAATTACAATCTAAAAGTTACAGTAGATATTGATTGTTTGCTCCCCCCCTTCCTCTTTTGTGTTTTCTTTCCCTTTTTCTTTTTTGAACAAGAAAAAATATTTTTCCAATTCCAATTATAGCTCTTGTTATCACTATATTACTTCTTGTGCAATGGTACACCCTTTGGTCATAAGCATTAAGACACTCATGATTGAATTCGTTCCATTAAAGGTTTCCATAAATAATTTTCTGGATACTAAATAAATATATTGTTGTCCAGTGAGCATTATCTCTGAAATATAAATTTGAATCAGGATAATGGTACATCAGTAGGATATCAACAACATATTTGAGTTTGAATTTATTCAAATCAAGGATTTCTTACTTGGAGCCAATACAGCATGTCTTTATCTAACTGTCAAGTGACCTTGTTCTTTGGAATCTTACCCTAAGTCTAAATCATGGGAAAAATGCAGGCCATGGGCAATAACATAAGTTTAAATCCTTCTAGATGAGGATTCAAGAATTATGTTTCAGACAAAATTGTGTGACACACAGACTTTCAAAAGCAAATATTTATCTTCCCGACTGGTGAAACATACCAGTAATAAGAAATTCTTTAAATATGCCGAAAAGGTAGATTTCTTTGTGATATAATTTTTAATTTTAGTCTATTTGAAATGTGATTTGAAAGTTTAACAAAAGTACTTAACAGTTGTCGTAGGCAGCGGGTAAAACTCGCTGTTGTGGAGTTTGTGCTGCTCCCAAGATGGTATCAATTAAATTGTTACATTGTCCGTCTGTTCGTCGATATGGATCACTAACATCACAGACTGGTCTCTGAAAACAGAATGGATCGAATGCTCGTTGAAAGCTTGATGTAACCTGAGGATCTGACACTGCTCTCTGGAAACCGGCCGCTGTTCCTCCTCCAATTTCCGGGCTAAAGGTTGAAGGAAGAAAGAGAGAAAAGACTCTTGTACATTTTTATCAATATTTTTTCCCTAGATATTGTAGAATCATTTTAATTAGTGGCAGCCGATGTTCGTCGGCTATGAAAATCCTACTGCTTTGTGGAGACAGAATTTCGTGGTTACCAGAATCAAAGAATCAATGCGTTGATAAAGTTATCTCTACCCAAAAAATCCATGTCTTGGTCTCTCACGAACAATGATGATTCCACAGTATTATTTACCACGTTAATGAATATTGAATATATCCGGTCCTTAGTTCTATTAACATTATAACATCATATCCTCTCATAAAATAAATAGGAGAATCATTAAGTACAATGTAAAGTACTATTTCATTTTGACACTTACTTTCATTTTGACACTTACTTTCATTTTGACACTTACTTTCATTTTGATACTTACTTTAGTGCTATGGATCTTGCTGCAAAGGAGGCTCTAGTTGATCGGTCATTGAGCAGCGCTGTGGTAGCTGGGGCATTACTCTGGGAGAACCGAGCTAGGGCGGCGGCGGCACCAGATCCGGCAGGGGTGGGGAATGGTACAATTCCCCCGCTGGTTGTTCGACCTACAGATGTACAAAAACAAATTAGCAGGCATACATACACAGCGACTTTGTCACCTGTCTATTGAACAAGTCTCTAAGTAACATTTATATACATATTTTCATAAATATTTTTCACGTGCATAAAGTACGTATTTTAAATTCTTTCGGTGACATCGTTTGCTTTAACAACCCCCCCCCCCCCAGTACTTCTTTAATTTCATTTTGAAAAGAAAGTATATGATTTGACACTCAATTCATAGTATTGTGCAGAAAATACCACTAGTTTACGAATGTCATTTCGTACATTCTCATTTTTTATATTATAGGAAGAATAGGCTTAATAAGTGAGTTATGATTTTGATAAAGGTTTTTTTTTAATCTTTACCAGAAATTTCCTTGCAATATAAAGTTGAAATATTTATTTAAGTAAAAACAATCTCCGGATTATCTAAAACTTGATAAAGTGTTTTTAAGCTGATGATTTAGTAATCAAACTCTGACAATCAGTTTCATTTGTTGTTAACCAAAAATGAAAAAAAAACTAAACGATTTTTGTCTGAAAAAGATTACTTGATGTATAAAAATACCAAGAGTAATACATTTCTTATAAGAATAAATGTGTCTTATCTATAAAAAAAGTATAAATACATTTATATAAATAAAAATTTTATTTATCTAATAGCTCTTTCGTTGCAGCTTCATTAAACATTAAAAGAAAAATCCCTAATATCATTTGTTGTTTTCCTAGACCGAGCTATACAGAACTTTGGAAGATTTCCTCCACAATAAATTACATGCCTAACTGTGAGATACATGTACCACAAGATGTCTTCCGTTAATTCCCAAGGGTACCAATTGCACCCCGTTATTAGCAGACCTATTTTTGTATTCATATGAAGCAGAATTTGTTCAAAATCTTATACGTGAAAAGAAGAAAACACTTGCTTTGGCCTTCAACTAGACATTAAGATATATCGACGACGTATTATCAATTAACAATAATTATTTCCATTCTTATGTCGATACGATATATCCCGGTGAGCTTGAAATAAATATTTGGATATTTTACTAGAAAAAGACGTTAATGGTAATCTAACAACCAAGTTTTATGATAAACGTTATGACTTTAACTTTAACAATCGTCAACTTCCCTTACTTATGCAGCAATATACCTTCATCACATGCATATGGGGTTTATATCTCTCAGTTGATTCGATTCCCAAAAGCATGTTCTATGTATAAGCAATTGCTAAAACGGTTGTTATTGACAAGTTGATGAGACAAGAATATCAGCAGTCTCGTTTAAAGTCGTCATTTCGTAAGTTCTATGGTAGATACAATGACTTGTCAGCAAATACAATTTATCATTAAGTCAAATGCTGACTGACGTTTTTCATACTAATTGTTAGGCCATTATTTACACACTGAATTGTCGAAGGATTTTTCTGTTATTTCCCGATCATGACAAGGAGCACATGGCGGGTGTGATTGGTCGGCGGAGGATGCCCACTCCTCCATGGCACCTGGTCCAACCTCCGATGTTTTAAAGGTCAGTGTTTGCTCTGCTCCAAAATTTGTATTGTTAAATTGACTTTTGAGTACTATTCGTGTTGTAAATAGGAGAGCATGGCAAATGCAATGCTTTTTTCTCATAGTCACCCATCAAAAAGAAAAAAAAGTTTCAGTAAGGCTTATGTGTGGTCCCTGGTTAGTTTAAAAAATATTACCTTAGAATTAAATTATATTATTAACTGATGTCGTTATTCTTTGAGTTAACATCTGAAAATGTCAAATAATATCTAATTATATAGACAACACACTAAGCTGGGGTGCCTTGATTTTCATAAATATCGAAAACAATTGTGACAGGTGCATACATCACAGCCTTCGTCAACATCATGATCAAGCGCAGATTTTTCAGAGTCGAGTTCGAAATACAATATGTATATTATAGGTATAATATCTTTGTTGAACACAGTGCTCACTGTTTTCTGATTGAAACTATTGTTATTTTGAATTTGTTCGCTGACTTAAATCTCTTTATCACCACTACTTACTTGTTCGGAACCTTTTATTTTTCGGTGTTCTGATAATTATAATACCCAAGGAGTTCGCAGTAGCTCTGGCGAGATTTAGTCAAGTCTGTTAAAGGATAAGGAACTTTCAAAGACAAATCTACTGTCAATCGGAAAAATACAATGCCCATTTTTTTCATGCATTTTATACATGAAAAACAAAATGCCCCTTATTACCTATTATCTCCTTGCTCATATTAACAAACATTTGTTTATAAAACGTAGAATTCTAGGTTCCTCAGAGCCATATTGTGCGGCAATTTGCATCTGTATTCTTTTGTTATACTATTACAAAATTGATATAACTTTTTGAAAGGTGTTGTCATATAGGTAATGTACAGGCAAAATATGAAAGCCCTGTCTTCTCTCATTCAAACATTATTAATAATGTAAATAAATGGAAAGAGACTATAGGTTAAACTTCAATGTCAAAATCGCGAGGTCAAAAACGAGAATACAGTCGAAAATGCTTTAAAACAATATAAATACCCTATCTTCTCTCATTCAAAAGTTATCAGCGTTTAAAACATTTTGAAAAATTAGGCCAAACTTCAAGGTCATGGGGTTAAAAGTCATAGTACATTTAGAAACGTCTTGTCATAGGTAATGCACAATTCAAATATGAATGCTTTCTCTTCTCTCCATGAAAAGTTAGCCTCGATGAAAAAATATCGAAAATTTAGTCAAACTTGAAGGTAAAGGAAACGGATCAAATATCAAAGAGAGTTCAAAAACTTCTTATCACGTGTAATGCTCACGTCAAACATGAAAGCCCTATCTCCTCTCATTTGAAATTTATAACCGATATATTTTTTTTTTATAAGGTGCAACTTTAAAGTCAAGGTCACGGGGTCAAAAATAAAGCATATTCGAAAACGTTTTGTCACAGGTAACTCGCATTCAAATGTGAATGCTCTATCTTCTCTCATTCAGAAGTCTCTCCAATGTTATTTTATTTTTAAAATTAGGTCAACATTCAAGGTCAAGGTCAAGGGACCAATATTAATACATGTAGTTCATTTTAAAATGTCTTGTCACGGGTCTTGGGATAGGTAATGTACATTAAATTTTGATAGCCCTACTTCTTCTCATTCAAACGTTATGACCAAGGTAAATGTCAATTTAGAATTTTTGAAAAGTAGATCAAACTTCAAGGTCACGGGGTCAAAAACATAGTATATTTGTCAAAAGTAATGTATATGTGAAATATGAAAGCCCTATCTCTTTTCATTCAAAAGTATTGACTAAGGTTAAAGTTTTTGTGATAGACAGACTGACAGATGAATGGAATTTAATGTCCCATCGTTTTTTGAAAGAGCAATAGTTCCTTTTTTTCTGTGACAAAATCTTGCAATACCTAGGAGAGTCATCTTCGCCCAATAAGCTAAATTTGCAATACGAAAAATGCTTCAAATGAATTTGAGTAAGTCTGGTCATGCTGATTTGGATACATTATTTTCAACAGATATATATTCCCTGTAAAACCGCCCTTTTCACCCGATCCGAGCACGGGGGTGGAGGGGGGGGGGTTATCGTTTGATCATGAAAAACCAGAATATTCTATTCAAATATAATATATTTCTCATATAAGTGTGGTCTTCTTCGATCCTGTGAATTTTACGAAGAAGCTTCAAAATGTCTCTACCCTTTTATCACTTTTAACATTCATTTGTTTAATCCTAGAAAGGGACATTAAGCCATGGTCATCTTTAAAATAATGTTTGATTGCCCTCTCCTGACTCAGGGTTAAAAGATTGGGTCGTTAGGTAGGTGGGAATTTTTTTCCTGAAAAAGTTCAACATCAATGCAGAATTTTCAAAATAGAAATACGAAAAAATACTAATAAAATTAAAATGCCTGTTGTGGGATGAGAAAATTCTGAAATGAATATAAAACGATAATCGTTTTCTGGACGTTAAAAAAATTGAGTCGGGCCATTTTAGCCAGGGTACGCAAACACATTTTAAAGATAGCCCAATTTAATATTTTTTTGCCCAGGAATACTTAATGTCAACGATGGTTGAAATCAGCATCGAGAGTTTCCGAAGAAACTATTAAACCTGTGAGAAACCATTAAACGAAAAAACTTTGGTCATTAAAGTTCATTTCAGAGTTTAGCTCAGATGATCAAAACGTGAATCCTTTCGTGATATCACATTTTTACGGAAGCCGGTAGGTGCCAGGTAGAAAAATATTTTATCTGGCGGCCGCCAGATAAGTTTCTGGCGGCCGCCAAATAATTATCTGGCGGCCGCCAGATCTTTTTATCTGGCGGCCGCCAGAAAATTATTTGGCGGCCGCCAGAAACTTATCTGGTGGCCGCCAGATAAAATATTTTTTCTACCTGGCACCAACCGGCTTCCGTACATTTTCATTTGTATAACTTGTTCCAAAGATACAATTTATGCATATAAATTGAGATACAAAAAAATTAAGACGTCTGATTTAAATTTTTTTTTTATTTAAAAAGTGAAATATTGAGATAACGATCAGTAATCAATCTCAAAGTTTATTGAAACAATACAAATCGGTGTAACACTGTAACACAATGAGCGAGTAAATTATAATTTTAATTAATGTATTCATTCTCTACAATGTACTTATTGATATTTTAATATTATTTTATGAATGATAATTGATACTATCAGTGTGAAGAGTCACCGACATTTGCCCTTAATTATTAACTTGTTTACAAACTCTGGAAGACTGGTAATAATAAGAACGTCTTCATTTAACGGACACTCCAACAATTTGTTTTTACGACATGTTGTTCACAAACATTGACACTTTCCAGTCAGACTTTGGGGAAAGATGCGCTGATCTAATTTACGACAAGTTCTCATAAACAAAAGACACTGTCGTATCCAATAAGGAGATAGAACTTTCTTGAGAGGCGGACTATATCGGGAACAGAGCAAACACGGACCTCTAAAAACATCAAAGGTGGGATCAGGTGCCATGGAGGACTAAGCATCCATGTTGTCTGCTCACACCCGCCGTGAGCTCAATGTTATGATCGGGAAAACGGAAAAATCTGTAGACAATTAGCGTTGAAATAATGGCCTTACAATAAGTATGAACAATTCCTAAAACGAGGCAAACTATTGACAAACAAGTTGATGAAACAAGGATATCAACAATCTCGTCTAAAGTTATCATTTCGCAAGTTTTATGGTCGATACAACGACCTTGACAACAAATACAATCTATTATTAAGTCGAAGGCTAACTGAAGTTTTTCATACTAATTTTAGGCCATTATTCACACACTGAATTGTCTGCGAATTTTCCGTTCATTTTTTCGATCATGACAAGGAGCACACGGCGGGTGTGACCGGTCGGCAGGGGATGCTCACTCCTCCATGGCACCTGACTCCACCTCTGATGTTTTTGGAGGTCCTTGTTTGCTCTGCTCCCGATTTGTATTGTCTAAATGGACTTAGAGCATGAATACTGTTCGTTATCTCCATATTTCACAGATGTGTCAGACTCTGTTGCTTTTTTTTATTTCAAGTTCAATGGGATATATCGAGTCGACATATGAATTGAGGAAAATATATGATCATCGATTATTCATGAAGTGACGGTTCTGTTTTCATTTACTACATGTATGCATACAAACCTCATCTCCCTTTGCTTCGGTAAAGAAAAATGTTACTGTGGCCGTTTGTCCATTAGCTTCTTGTGGAAGAGGGCATGGATGGGCAAAATTTACATCCTTTGAATATTTTCTAATTTATTTATGAAAACTACTGGTACTTCCCTTAATAAATCCATCAACGCTGAACTAGTAAAAACAGGCTTTTCAAGGCCATATGTGTGAAAAAATTCTCAAACATCTTCCATCAATGAAACATACCACAGTCATTTCATTAAAAGCGTGTTCGTTATAAGCGTGTTTTACTGCGTACAGATCAATAATTTAACATTTAACATACTTTTACCTACTTTATATGATAAATCATTATATTTACAAACATAAATCTAAAAACTATAGTAGAAAAATACATAACCCGCTTAGGAGAGGTATGCATTTCTTTCCTGAAAAAGTTGCAACTGTCACTATACAGCATTTACAAAGAAAGAAAGCGTTTTAATTGTTTTTAATTACATGCGTTACTGATAGGATAAAAACATTTAAAACTCATTTTAAAAGAAAATCTTTTCAAGTATGTTGTATTCCTGGACAAAATCTTTTACATAGTAGTGGTTAGTCATAAATAGGCCATGTAGTATAAATTGTTGACCCCGTTTTAAGACAAAGGTTGTTTTCAAAGACAATAAGCTATAGCCTGAAGTAAAATTCAACTGTCCAATATTGAGTGTGTTTTTTTTCAAGTCAAGAGTAATAAATACGAATGCATACGGCGCATTTATATTTCAGTCATGTCCTGTTTCAATTGCCCGCAAGGGTTACTGGTTCCGATAAGACTGATGCGGTTTATATTGCATTACATGAATTATAAATTTCATCATTAAGGAAATAAAAAAGATAACTATGAAACCATTTTGTATTAGGTTCTTGATTACCAGCTTTACTTGCTTGTTTCAATTGCAATTGCTTTATTTGTTTGTTTGGTTTTTTTTGGTTTGTTCTATTGTAACAATTGTATCAATTTCACCTTCAAATTGGATTTATTGAATATTCAAGGAATATTAGTTTTGTAAGTGTTATTGGTGTGTAAATCACACAAATTTATAACCAAGCATTTTTATGATGCGCGCTAATACTTCAAAAAATTTGTCTACATGCAAGTCTATGTGAACTAGACTAGTAATAATCACAAACTAATAAATATTTCTTAAGTTTATATTTCACACATTTTTTTTTCAAAATACAGTGGTGATTTTTGCTGGTATATATCGTTATATTTTCATTACCATCTAGGTGGCCTTATTGTGACGTCATTTTTGCGTTTGTATGGACAGAAATAATCTACATGTATCTGTTTTAAAATTGTTTTTTATTCCACAGAGGGTCATACATTAAGGAACGAAAACATTCCCAAAATGAATCTATTTAGTGTGGAGAAAGCAGAGATATACAATTGTGACAACCCTGAAATATTTCAACAATTGGCCTTTGGTGTTCCAAATATTATTATTAAAAAATTAAACGTCATCATTGATGCGATTTTAAAAAAAAAATGATCAAAGAAAAAAATGATGAAGGGGGAAACCAAAGTCGTCTTGGTTGTTTAAAGGAGAATAACTTAACATTTTCATTATATACAGTAAATATACTAACTTGCTGGAATTTGTCCTACACCCCCAGGAGCTGGGGCGATTCCTCCCTGACCCCCAAAAGCTGTGATGGGCGCTCCTCCCCCTACACCACCACCAAACGCACTTTGAACAGCATCGTTCACAATAGAATCAATGGTTCCCTGTGCATCACAATGGTAAACCAGGGCAGCACAAATTATTACTATATACACTTCCTTCATCCCTCTCGTCTGTGTTTGAACCGTTTAGAGAATTCAGTTTAAACATTTTAATGGAATGGGAACTGTTTTTTGACCAATCGCAAGGAGTTTTAAATTGCAGATCAATTTCAAGAAGAAATTTTCTTTCCGCATTAGACATAATTTTTAGTATAGATTCACGTCCAATAAAATGCCGACTATGATACACTAATATGCAAAAAGGTGGAGTGTATATGACGTAAACAAACGAAATCTGTTTTAAAATCAATGTTTTACAACTTTTTGCTCCGCCCCATATCAATTTGAAAATTTAAATTCAACCCACGTTCAAATATTTCCGACTAGCAGAAGGTTATTTCGATTGTTTGCTTGCTGTTTCGGAAAGGCGTCTGTAAGTTTAAAAACTAGCTCTGATTATTTACTTAATTAACACCTTTCATTTTGATTTATATTTTTTATTTGATTTAAGACGTTGATTGCATCATTGACTGTTGCATGAAAAAGCATTTTTGAAAGAGCTAAAGCTACGAACCATCAAATTTGGCCCTGTGTTTTTCACAAAAATAAAGTTTTGATTAAACAAGAGTCCTATACATTAAATGTTAGAGGACAACATACTTATTTTCCATACGTAACTTATTTTGTTAAATAATGCGCCATTAGGCACGTGCGACGGTTGGAACGTGTGATGGTGTGATAAAAGCGTTAAAAAATGCCGATTTTTCGACAGATTTTTCCAAAGTTAGTTGTGGCCACAGTCAAGAACAACTTTTATACTTACCATAGATATAGATATTGCCGATACAAATCTTTATGCTTATTATCGTTGTTGTTCGTGGGTGTGGCCAATATGAAATTTGATTTTATATTTAAATTTTAATGCATCAAATAATCACTAATTTGTGAATCAATCGTTAACATTTAATTCATACAACAATAAAAAATTATAAATTTCACAAAATACGCGAAAAAAGCAATTTATTGTTCGTTTAAAACGCTTATTGTGGAAAAAAAAAACCCTCAAGAATAAACATTTTCTAAAATAAATATCTGGCAAAACATTTTTTTTTATTGTGAATACATGTAGGTCCATTATATATGACGTTACTAATAATACGTCAGTTATGACGTCATAAAGGCTCTGAACTATTTGGAATGTTGCTGAAAAGTTTTTATGCTCTGGAATGCTGTCATTATTTGTATGATTAAAGCCCAACTGGATGATACCATCAGATTATTAATTATCAGAAATTCACGCCAAATTGTTTTCTTTACTGCCCTTAACACACCCACCCCACCCCCACCCCCACAATACCTGCTATTTTAAAGCTGTTATTAGACCTACAATTTTATATTTAAGCATTTTTTTAAATATATATTTATTTTTATTTATTTATTTTTGATATTCTTGCGACAAGTTTAATAATGTTGTGCGTGTTAACAGACATGACTCAAACTGTAAACAAATTAAAAGAGAATGTAGCAAAGATATCACGCTAGACCTCTGTAAAACAAACGAAATAATAAAAACATAGCTTGCTGTGCAAAGTGAAAATTAAAAAAAAAAAAGGAATTAAAAAACGCATTTGGATAATCATCTACATTTCGGCTAAACAGAATCTAGGTCACGGGCGCGGGTTCATCAAGTGCAAGTGTTTTGACGAAACCCGATATCGATACACACATGCATATATACTATAACTATATTCTTTTGTACCAGCATATATAAGCTATCGATATAATAACTGTATATTTTAAAAAATCCTCTGAGATGATTCTTATGCATGTAACACAAAAGGGTGAATTTCCATCCTGCTTCGAAAGCATATATATTTTTCAATATGTCTGCATTTAATAAATTCGAAGAGAGGATATTGATGATGCATGTGTACATATAACACATAAGTGATTTTGTCATCATTTGTGAAACATAATTCAGTTACACCCCAGTGAGCAAAAATGCATAAAAAATATCAGAGTATGTCTTAGAAATCCAGTATAAAATGTTTATGCATCTTTTACTGTGCTCCAAATATTTTATTGTTACTATCACAATATAAATAATTTATGCTTCTGATCGTCAGATAGTTGGGGGTAGTGGTTTTAAATCTATTTAGACAAAATAAAGAATAGAAATAAATAAAATAAAGTACACTACATATAAATTACTCGTAAGTTTTTTTTATCTGCCACCATTTCTTCATTGCGACTGTAAGTATGCAGTTTTGTTTTATCTTAGAATTCAGCACCATGAAATCTTATAGAGAGAGAAAGAGAGAGAGAGAGATTCCTTAAAATGTTTTTAAAACTCAAAACAATAAACCAAGAATATATTCTTTGAAACGTATGGGCGTAATTTGTTTATAGTTGGTTATTTTATACCCAATGAAGTAGATTTTTTTTTTATAATACATGAAATAATAATATTTTTTAAATCTATTGTCAGCTTATTCTGATATAGTACACTTGTACCTCCTTCCTCAGTATTAATTAATTATTAGTATCATGATATGTAAAAAGGACTTATCGGGGGGGGGGGGTAGATCCAAGACTTCCAGTTGAGGTTGAAAGAAAGGGGGGGGGGGTCACAAACTAATGACAGCAAAACTTGCAATTAATGTAATTATTTAAAGTTTAATCCCATAAGCTGTCTTGAATTTAAATTTCTTTATTGTTTATTAATTGAAATCAATCTAGAAATTGAAAATTGCTTTATACTTTCCTACTCCTCTCATTTTTTTTCTCAGTGAGAAGGGGAGGGGTGCCTGGTGCGGCGCCACCACTGTGTACAAAAACTATTTCATAAAGAAAACTGAAAAGAAAATATAGGGACAGCTCTTATTGTTTCTGAGGGTGTTACCTTTTTAAGCAAGATTTTGTTGAATTGAATTCTGAGGGTGTTACCTTTTTAAGCAAGATTTTGTTGAATAAAATCAATCTTGCGCTGATTGCAGGACAATAAGACAAGGATAAATGAACACCTGTACATGTCTTTCACTTATGACTGTGACCCACATCATGGCCGTAGGAACCGGAAGGGGGGTGATAATTTTGCCGATATAAAGATTACTATCATAAACATAGATACTATATGCTTGTGCCCCTCAATAAAAACGTCTGATGACCTTTTTTTTTTTTTTGCTCGTCAGGAAATTTTTGGTAGTGCCTCCTCAACTGTCAACTGAAAATGTATGGCTGAGCCCCCCCCCCCCCCCCCCCCAATGAATTTGCTTCCTACGGGCCTGCACATATCAGCAATATAAATGCAGCTCTACTCTTTTTATAAACCATAAAAACCATTATGTGCAATGAAATCGAAAGTAGGAATTTTACACTATAGTTACGTATGCTAAAAACGAATATTTGCTCAAGTTTAATTATTTTGTACATTTACATGAAAAATAATCATATAATTTTCGCAGATTTCTATCTTTACTAATTCCTTGCAATTAAGATATTTGGGAGAGAAACATTCGAATATTTTGCAAGAGATGGGGGGGGGGGGGTTCTAGCAAATATCGATAAATATAAAATAATGAACAGGGCTGATTTATTTTCTGCTTTAGCCTTAAATTAGTGATTTTTAACAGGTTTATCTTTCTTAAGAAAATTTTTTTTGGAAATGTATTCCATATTATTCCAAAGAAACTCACATTTAGGGCGACAATGTTTTGATGAGTTTTGTTTGCTTATTAAACCATTCTGATAAGTTGCGACACCCCTTTTCAATTAATCTATGTCTCTGTTTCGAAAACGACGTTCAAAATATTGTTACAAATGAAACAAGTCCTTCCAACTTTTTACTTCCTCCCTTTTTCCAAATCATTTAGAACTTTTATATCTTAAAATACTCGCAAGTTAAGGATCTAAGAATTTCGCATTAAAAGTCTATTTCCATTTAAACAATTTTTTTTGCAATTACTTCTATCCATTTATTGAATTACATTGTAGTTCTTCAGTTTAGAAACATTCGTTTTAAGATCATTTCAGGTATCTCGTTATTTTTTTTTTCTGACTGCCCTCTTCCCCACTTTGAAAAACAAACTTCGTACCTGGACGCACATTCCAAAGATCAGCTAATATTTGCAGGCGTGTAGGAAAAAGTCCGGAAAACTAAGTTGGACAGGCTATCGTCATTTGAAGCAAGTCGTATGTTTTTTTTTAATGATGTTCAATACTCAATACTTACATGTAATTAGGAGCGATGCATCGCACAAAAATGTGTTCAAGGGATAGAAATACAATGTTCCTTCTTAAAAATTTTATTAGCATAGGGACCAGGTAGAGTGAAAACTTTCCGATACAGTAACACAGATTATTTTTACTGTACATGTATCTATAAATTTCAATCAGTTAAACACGCAGTTGCCATCAAGACTGCGATGTGAAATCAATTTCCAACTGTCCTTAATTGTCTTAAATTAATTATGAAGTTTATTAGTAAGATAATAAATATCTATCCCAATTAATACTAGTTTTAATTCAAAGTCACATATGTAAAATCGCTCAAGGTAATTTTTCCGCCCTACGACGTTACGTTTCAAAAAATGACGTTCTACTAGCATTTTTCTTTTAAAACACCGTCATACTTCAAACTCTCTTTTTCCAAAAATATAATCGATATCGAAAAAAGAAAAACGGCAAAGAAAAGCTAAAAGTCTACACTATCAATTGACAAAACCCCGTTACTTTTTGAGACAGGGCCATTTTTGATGGTTCGTGGCTCTTGCTCTTTCCGTTTTAACTTGAATATCAAAAAAAAAAAAAAAAAAAAAAAAAAAACTCATGTTTTATCCGAAGTAGCAGCTCTTAGTTTACTATATATGTAGAACTCACTTTCTACTAAAATCAATCTCGCCAAGTGGCAACACCACAAATGTGGTTTGATATACATCTATAAAATCATCTTATGATAAAATTAAATATATCGTATAACTCTGATCTGATAATTTTGATAAGGAGAGAATTTAGAATTTTTGTTTATTTTGATTTTCGAGTTTAAATGAGTTTTCTTCATTGAT